GCGTGCACGGGACCTTTTGCATTCCGCGGCTTGGCCCGGAACCCAGGCCTGGATAGGGAGCTGCTGCCCCCTGAAGCCCCCTGAGGGCCTGGCCTCTTGGCCGGGGACAGCCCAGCCGGCACATGTGTCCAGGGCTTAGTCAGAAGCCCACAGGATTTCAGGAAGCTGCTTGGGGTGTCTGGTTCCCACTGTGCGAGGTTTATGCTGTCCCTGTGGGGCTGTCTCTGCCTCATCACGTTTTTTGCCTTTTTAAACCCAAGCTCCACTAACTAAAGGTCATCCCACAGCACAGAAATCAAGATCCTCTTCGCTTTGCTTTCTAACCTGAAGTCAGAAAGCTTTTCAAAAGTTCGACTCCACAAAAGCTGGGTTTTCTCCGGGAGCCTAGAGTCTGCCTATATGGGAATGGTGACTTCTTGTGCAGTCAAGGAGCTCACTAACCTTTCCCCAGAGCTTCCTTCCCTGCCTCTGTCAGGGGCCAGCCTCGGCTGCCTGCGCCTCCTGGCCTATCTGGCCTTCCCCAGGCACTGCCACACTTGGGACCCAGGATACAGCCTGATGCTGTTGGTGGGCAGCCTCCTCTCCCCTCCATACTGCCACTTTTCAAACACGGCTGTCCATCAACTGTGTGCCCTCTCCTGAGTCTCACAATAAACCTCACAAGCCAAGGAAGACAGAGTAGGTGTCTGTCTTTTGGCAGATGAGCAAACAGAGGCAAGGGGAAGAGGAGTGAGTTGCTGCAGGTGGCACAGGCCAGTGACAGACATGACTCAAGGGCTGGGACCTCACTGTGGCTCTCACACAAGGACCAGCTCACATGGACAGGGGTCCATTCCCCCACCAGTTTCCTCCCCTGTGGCAGGCCTCCCTGAAAGTGGTGAAACAGGCAAAGCCCATGCCCAGCACGAGCCAGCTTCTGCCATTCCTGAAGCAGGTTCTGGGATCCCATGCACAGATGGCCTCTAACACTGACGGCTGAAAGGAGACGCCTCTAATAGGCTTCAGGCACTGGGACAGCCCTCTATAAGGTGCCTGTAAGTGTCCTGTGGATACAGACCTTGCTGGGGACGATGAGGTCAGGACAAAGGGAGTTTGGTTTTTGTTGTTTTGCCGCAGTGATATTTACCAGACCGGTTGTTTAATTAACTGCCTTGGCAACAGCTGGAACCACAAACGGCTTCTCCTCAAATGCAGAGAGCAGCTGAGGAAGCAGGGTGCAGTGTCAATCGAAGAGCAATGACATTTTTCAGTGATCCCTGACCTGTAATGGACTCAGTGACATTTCCTGCTAATCCATGAGTTTCTATGCTCTGAGGTTTCATCTGTGGCGAATAGTATTGACTGACTTACAAAGAGACAATGGTCATACCCTGTGGTCACTCACCATAGTTTGGCGGTAGGTGGATTTCTCGGCCCTACCCCAGCCGTATAGATAGTATTATGTCTCTATAAATGGTATATAGAGACACAATTTTTTTTTTTTTCTTAAAACAACAGAGATTTATTTTCTTACAATTCTGGAGGCCAAAAGTCCCTGTAATTTTTTTTTCCCCCAATTAGTTTTGCAGCCTTTTAGGGCCAGCTGGATCAAAACAGAGCTCCTCGGGATCCTGGAGGTGAGGAGCTCATGGTGGCTCAAGACGAAGAACCTATTGCTGCTTCCCCCCAGCCCCACAGCCCTGCACAAGCAGACTGAGGAAAGTGAGGCACTACTGGGGGCGGGGCCTGCAGATCCCCAAATGCTCCACAGCACACGTACTCTACTGTGAGTGACAGTAGAGTACAGGTTGCAGAGGAACCTTCAGAATCCCTCAGGGCGTGGAATGCTTTCCTCTGACCTCAGAGCTGACTCCCTCCTGCGGCCCCTAGGCCCCACCCTCCACAGCTCCTGAAGCCCTTGCAGTTGCTCTGTGATGTCTGCATGGGTGAGTTGTTCCCAAGGCAGAGGTTCCTGCCTGCAAACACTGCTCTCCAGGAAGCTCTCTGCAAGCCTTGGGGAAGCACGAGAGACAGGGGTACAGTTACCCTGCACGTTGACAAACAGCAGTCTGCACCAGGGCTCCTCAACCTTTTTTGAGGTCGGGCTCCCTTTGAGAATCTGCTGAAAGCCATTTCCATGGACTCAGACTCGCATGCACAAAATGTCATAGTTCAGGTCCAGGGGTTCTTGGAGACCCAGATGTCCACCCTTGGGCCACCTGGGGGCAGTCACCAACCTCAAGGCAACCCCTGACCAAGGACACTGTCAGTGAGTGGCACACTTCCTGGGGAAGGAGTCAGCACCTGAGTGAGCGTGGGAGGAAGGGAAGGGTGGAAAGTGCGTGTGTCGAGGCAGGGCAGCAGCGGGGGCACACATACTGCCCACAGGGCAATGGACAGCTTCCTAGCCCAGTCCAAGAGCCTGGGAAGATGAAGGCAGGAGGCACTCCCGGGGTGACGGTCAAGGAAGCTGATGGGGAGACAGCGGTGGGTCCCCCACACTGGGCAGACCCCATTTTCTGCCATACCTCACACAGCCTGGGCTGCAGCCAGATTTCCAAAAAAGGGAGTTAGCCTCCCCACAGCAGGCCAGGGGAGCCGCTTTAGCCTGGTAGAAAGTAATCAGTTCAGAAGTCAGCAAGAGATGCTGAGTGGTGAGATGCCAGGCGCTGGGATGGAGGGGCCCACTCAGCTGGAACTGGGCAGGTGTGAATCACCTTCCTTGGCTCCATCAGAGCAGCGGTGCTCCCACCTGCATCACAGTCTCAGTTTCCAAGTAAGATTTCATTAGGAAATTCTGATGCCGAGCTGAGCCAGGCCTCTTGCTTCTCCTGTGCTCCACAGACCCAGGGTGGACGAAGAGCCCTTTCCTTTCCCCAGCCTAGGATTCTAAGTCTTTCTGCTTGGCCATTTCAGTTTCCGATGAAGCCTAACTGAAGTGGAAACACACACAGGCACGCAGGCCAGCGGCAGTGGGTCAGACCCTACCAGAGAGGTGTGAGGATGGAGCTGGGATCAAAGTAAGGCACTGGCACTAGGAGTGGGGAACCTACATCTTTTGCGAATTCTCATTAAAAATAAAATGTTCTTACCTCGTACTACTGTATTGTACTTGTGATTAATGAAACAGGGTAACTAATCCCTTGTTCACACACATTGTTTTCTCCGTGTTAGGATTTCCTAAGCTACCGGCCTTTGGCGGTGAAGTGACTGGAATTTTAGTCGTCTCTCTTTTTTTTTTTTTTTTGAGACGGAGTCTCGCTCTGTGGCCCAGGCTGGAGTGCAGTGGTGCGATCTCAGCTCACTGCAACCTCCGCCGCCCGGGTTCAAGTGATTCTACTGCCTCAGCCTCCTGAGTAGCTGGGATTACAGGCACCTGCCATCACGCCCAGCTAATTTTTGTATTTTTATTAGAGATAGGGTTTCACCATGTTGGCCAGGTTGGTCTTGAACTCCTGACCTCAGGTGATCCACCTGCTTCGGCCTCCCAAAGTGCTGGGATTACAGGCGTGAGCCACTGTGCCTGGCCTTTAGTAGTCTCTTGAATGCTGCTGGGGCAAGGCTCAGAATCAGGGCCAGCCACGAACACAAAAGACAGGCTGTGTCGAGTTGGCCATTCTGCTGACACCTGGCTGTGAGCAGCGGGGACCTGCCTAGGCCAGGATGGAGGGGGAATGGGCGGGGCAGGGGTCAGTGTGGACTAGGGGAAGCAGGGCAAGCAGGGCAAGGCTCAGGGGTCTTGGGGCTGCAGACCAGGCTGACCAGCAGGATGAACACCTGTCCTTGGCCTTGGTCACTGGGGCTCCCCTCTTCAGGGAGGCACATTATGGGGTTTATATTTAGGAAACACTGCCACTCCCAAAGCACCTTTCTTTAGCTTTGGGGAGGAGGAAGCCACCAACAGCAGTGCTCGGCATGCTAGCAAAGGCCACGAGCAGAACTATCTGCTGTCGTTTGAAGGAGGCCAAGGGTGCAGGAAAACCTGAACCCACCCCTGTGGTCAGCCCTGCCTCTGATGGGCTGGGGATGGACGGAGGTGAAAGCCCAGTGACGGGAACCTCCCTAGGCTGGGACCACTGAAGCTTCCCTTCATCACCCAGCAATTTTTTCCTAATCCTTTGTGAACCTATTTACACAGCATGAGTCACCTATCAGGGCAGCCAGGACTCTAGCTTCTTCCTTGCTGTCTGCAGGGGACAGCCTTGGGCTGGTTCTAAATCACCTTCCTTCAGGCCCTAAGGTGGAACAGGGGGAAGTGGGTTACTCAGAGGTCCCTCATCTGGGATCACAGGACTCTGAGAAACAAAGCCTGTTACACTCAGTGTCACCTGCCCTTAGGGGCAGAAGGCAGAAATCAAAAGATGACTCCCCCTTGCTCCCCCGACAGAGCAACACATCCTCCCGCCTCAGTTGGCCCAGCACGGCCTTGTTCCCAGTGTCCTGGCTGGGTGGCAGCAGGTCCTCTGCGTCCCACCACCACTTAGGCCGAGTGCAACTTAAACCTTGCTCCAAGAAGTGGGGCATCTGGCTGATGCAGTAAATGAGGGAGGTGGGGAGATATGAAGGAGCAGGATCACCTTGGAGGGCCGTAACCCCTGTCTCCAGCCGCCAGCCTAGCTGGTGTTAGAATCCCATCCTTGGCTGGCTGTCTTAGGGCTATGATTAACTTACACAAGTTAGTTTCATTCTGAGGCTCATGCAGAGCCCAGGGCAGGCAGAAGCAGCTCAAACATGTGTATTCAAACAGTCTCCCTTGTGGCCCATGCAGACCCCACCTCATGGGGGCTAAGGAGCAGCACGTGCACCCTATTCCCCACCAGGCACCTACTGGTGCAGAGCGCCACAGCTGTCTGCTGACCCCACCTGTCCTCACCCCCCTGTCTCTCTACCAGGGATTGTGCATGCAGCAGGTGCTTACCCCATGTGTGTTGGCTGGCACCATGGTAGGGCAGGTGTGCATGAGCACCTGCTGCAGAGGCCAGCCAGCTCCCCCACTGCCAGAGTGTTCTCAGGGCACTTACTTGAAGTTCTCAGGGTGCTCGGTGATGGCCATGTTGACAACATCCAGGGCATGCTGGTGGTGCTTCTGGGCGGAGAAGAGCAGTGCCAGCAGATGGAGGGCGTGGGCATCATCCTTGCATACCTTCAGGGCCTCCTGCAGCTGCTCCATGGCGCTGGAGATCTGTCGAAGGAACCCACCAGCTTAGTGCCCTTCCCCAGGCACGTGCTGCCCTGGGACTCAGAAGCCAGGTGCCAGTCAACAAAGGCACCCACACTCAACTCAAGGGGGCCCCAGGCACTGGGGGCAGGGACGCTGCTGTGAGAAAACACCTGCCCCAGATGGCCTGGCGCGGAGGGGTCTGCTGTCACCCTCAGGAATAAAGAGGAGCAGGTTTGTGGTGTGGCACAAAGGACCAGGGCAGCCACCAGGAAGTACTTCCTAAATGGGAGGAGTGGGAGCCACAGGGCAAGGCAGCCACGTGTGGAAACATCACCCTGGAGTTCTACTGATGTGTCAGGAGACCCTGCTTTCCAGGAGGAGATGATGCAAACGGGGTGCTCCAGGTAGGGGGTGCAGCTTGACCACAGGAAGGGAAGTATGCAGAGGCAAGTGCCTAGAAGACGGGGAGACTGGCCTCTAACATGGGCACAGTGGGAATCTGGGACTAGAATCCAGATTCTAGTCTTGTGTTTTATTTTCAATTCAACAAATATTTATTAAGCCTGGTTCTGGATAGGTGGGATGAGGCCAGATTATGCAGGGTCAGGAGAGCCAAACTCGAAGGGTCTGGATTTGGATGTGGTCTCAGAAAAGCCTTTCCTTCATGTGGTGGGGAGACCAGGGGTCACCACAGGTCCCAACTTTCACTGGCTTGAGTTTGCTGCCTCCCTTCTCTGAGCACTGCATGAAAGAGGGCAGGCCCCAGCTGCTCCAGTAGCCCAGTCAGTGAGCCCAGGAGGGGCTGGTGCAGCATGGAAGGGCACCTTCTACTGCTCCCGCCAACCCCGCAGGCAGGACTCCAATGTTCTACTGGATCTGGCTGCAGAGGGCATGGATGATTTGCAGCTGTGGCCAGGGCCCCACCTGCAAGTGGTAACAGGGTTACGGGGTCAGTCGGTGCCCCAGTACATCCTATGGGGACTATTTCAGGGCTGAGACCACACACCTGCTTGGCTGCCTGCCACCTTGCCAGGATGGGTCTCTGCCCATAGCTGGACTTATGGGAGGATGTGGAAGGTTCAAGGAGCCCTTTCCTAAAGAGACCATTCTCAGCATAACACAACATCCCCAGGATGGGCCCTAAGAGTCCCGTGGATGCAAGAGACACCTGAGGCCCCTCTCCTTGCCTCCGATTCTACGTCCCCAGACCCATCTACATTCAGCTGTGGAGGTTACTACCCTCAGAGAAAAAGCTCCCCGCCCCATGGGCCCTGGCCTGTGCATCCCTGACAGGGTCTGGGGAATGTTTCCACAAGCATTAAGGAGAAAAAAGAATTCTGGCAGTTACCAACATAAACTCTCTTCTTCAAAAGAGGTTGACCAGTCCTGGTGACTGCAGCAGCCCCTTACACAGTCTCATTTGACCTCTGAGGTGGCCCGCTGTCCCCCTTATGTCATCTCCTCGTTCTCTACAAAACACCCCACAGTCCCTGGCCCCTGCACCCTGCTGGGCACCCCTGCGCCATGCCCTGCCTGGGGCAGCCCCCACCTGCTGCCTGTCATCTGAGCTGATTGATCCTGCTCGTTTTGGCCAGTGGAGGGGTCCTGTATTTGTGAATACACAAGAGCTGGGTTCTAGAGTTGGCGCTGCCGCTCACTCGCCTTTGTCCCTGGTTCTCTCTGAATTCAGTTCCCTTATCTGCAAATTAGGCATATGCTTTTCCACAGAAGGGTACAAAGACCTAATGTACGTGCAAAAATGCTATCTTCTATCCCTTCCATTCTTTTCACACAGCAGAGCCAGCAGAGCGAGTTAGCAGCAGAGCGAGTTAGCAGCAGAGCAGGCACTCTCAGATGGGGGTCCTGACTCCAGGCCAAGTGCTCTTGTGTGAGCTATGCAGGCTGCTAAGCCTGTGTTTGGTGAGTGATGGGCCTGGCCTCAAAGCTGTCCCAGGTCAAGGCCAGCCCTCCTTGTGCTGTGGGTCCAGGGGCATGGCAGGGCCCAGCTGGCCATCTCCTCCTCATCTCTGACTCCTAGTACTTTCAACCTGGCCTGACTCCCCAGAATGCAGGGAATCCTCTCCCCCACATACTGCTGTTTCACTGAGCAGCACCCTTAGCTTGAGGCTCTGCACCTCGTAGAAAGGCTGTGACCAGGTCTGGAGAGAGAGGTTTGGGAGAGAAACTTGCAGCAGGCTGGAAGGTGGAGGGCCAGGAACGCCTGGCCCTGGGATAGAGAATCTGCCAGCTACATACCCATGGCTGAGACCCTCCGCTCTGAACATGTTCATGCGGTGATGTGGAAAGAACCTGATGTGTGGCTGACAGATAAACACCCGCTCCTGCTCTGAGGCTCTGGGGTCAGGTTGGGGTGTGGCTCCCAGCTTTGCCACTTCCCAGCTGGTATCTTAGGGCAAGAAGACTCACCTCTCTAAGCTGCAGTTTCTCTGCTCCAAAATGAGGATAATGGTTAAACCTATTTCAGTGTCCATGGAGATGAGACACTATAAAAAATGCCTTGCAAAGTACTGGCGGAACAAACACTTTTGAAGTGTGAGTTTCCCTCTTCAAGCCCCAAAGCCAGAAAACTAAGGAAGAGGAAAGACCCTTCCTTCCAGCCTGAAGGCACTTGTTCCTCCGTGCTCTTAGGCCTGGGAGCTGCATTAGCTCCTGTGACTCTCTCCATGTCAGGGCTCCATCCCTGCAGGAACCTCATGAGTCTCTTTTTAAGAGTCCTGCTTCTTGCCAAACCTCAAACCCAGCCTTCCACCCTTCTGGTGGTGCCTTGGGTCCCCAGTCTGCCTGGCTTTTGTGTTGGTCTCCAGCCTGGCCTCTGTGCAGGCTGTGGGCACCAGTGCCAGGCCCAGAGTTCTCCCCTGGGCACCTTACTTTGTGGATAGGTCAAGGAGCATATGAGGAGGACGCTAAGATCACTGGGGCCACTGGCTCAGCTTGTTGGTGGCCCTAAGGCTGTTCCTGTGCTGGTGACTCTGCCAGAGCAGACCCGATTATCCTGGGCTACGTATCCAAATCCATAGCCATCACTGTGCCGGCCAGCCAGACGTGCTCTGGGCAGGATAGGCCGGCTGGGGGCCTCAGAGACCCAGGCAGGCTAGGACTGTCCATTCAGGGAGTTCTTGAGTTCTCAACTCCCTGAGGCTGCCAAAATGAGGTCTCCAAGGAAACTGGGCGCTAGGCTCCACTGGCCTGGCCCGCCATCTCTCTAAGAGGATGGATGCTATTCATTAGAGAGGGGTGAGTAATTGAACAGGTCAAAAAATGCATCACCAAAGGTTTATCATTCCCTTGGTTAGCAAGAAAAGCACTGGTTCTTTTACAGAGAACTAAAAATAAAGTGGTGTCAGGTGTCTTTCTGTTGGCTTTCCTAGGAGTGGAGGGATGCTCCCGGAGGGGCACAGAGGTACCCCGTGCCTGTCCAGGACCTGGGGTCAGGAGTGAGGAGTGGGGACAGGGTGGAGGCGCAGCCTAGAGGTGGAGGAGGATGGAGGGAGTCACAGGGGGAGGAGTGGTTCAAGAGGAAGGGAGCGAAGCTGCCAACGACAGCAGAAACAACAGCCGGAATGGCATCAGGGCTGTTGGGGAGAAAATGATTGAGACAGAAGGACCTGGAGAGGGAGACAGAATGCCTCAGAAACAGAGTGACAATTCAGGTCAGGACAGACACAGGTGCCGGAATAAGGGTCTAGGCATAGGGTGACAGGGAGGGGGTCCCAGTACTGAGAGTAACTGTGATGAGAGGAGGAGTCAGGCTGACGCGAGGCAGAGCCTGGCTTGCCCCAGAGGCAGGAGGAACGCAGTTCACCAAGCTGACCATAAGACTAAGCCCCAGCCGGTGAGCACGCTCCCAGGGCCCCATCTCCAAAAGGGTCAGGGGAGCAGGGTACCTAGACCCCGCGGGCTGTGGATCAGAGGCCTGGGTTCTATGCTGGCTTGGCCTCAGTGGTGTCCTCGGGTAAAAAATGGGACTGCTGTGGCCTGCCTCCTCCGAAGGTAGGGCTTCCCCAGGCTGGTATGGGGGACACAGCAGCACCCCCAGCAGGCAGGGCTGCCCTCCACCTGACAGCAAGTACATGGGCTTCTGTGGGCTTCCCTCCACCAGCCTGGAGCTCAGCCCATTTCCTGGGTGACGCAGGCGAGAAGACCGCACTGTGGGAGCCAAAGGCTTGTCTGCAATCCCCGGGCACTCAGGTGGGGGGCATCGGTAGGCATCAGGGTCAAGCCACCTGAGAGGTCCTGTTTTAGAGGTTGTGTGTGTGTGCCCAGAGTACCAGCCTGCAGGCTGAGATGCCACGGGAAAGTAAAGGAGGCTCTGAAGGACCTGAGGTGGGGAGTCCTGGACACACCAACATTCTCTCAGCACCCTTGGGGAAAAGGCGGGTCTGCCTGCAGAGTCATAGTGGGGGTGGTCCTGGGGCTAAGGCAGTGAGCAGACAGGAGGCCCCTATGGGGCCCCAGAGGTCAAGGCCTGATGGTGGTGTCCACACAGTGAAGGAGTAGCTTGGGGGTCATAGAGAAAGCCCATCCTGCAACAGCTCCATGAGCCCACCACTTTATCCCCAAGACCCTTGGGGAAAAGGCAGTGGAAGGCGAGGACACAAACAGATGAGTGACAGGTGGTCACTCATCGGCATCTCAGGCCACTGAAATGTCGTAGGGGGAGTGAAGGCGGAGAACACGCCCTTCCTGTGTATCTGCCACGGCTTTACCCACATTACCTGACCTCATCCTCACTGGGACCCTCTGATGAGGGCTCAAAGGGCTTACATGACAGATAAGGAAACAAGCTCAGGGAGGTGAAGTCACTTGCAGAGGGTCACACAGATAGTAAGCTGGGTTTCCAGGAGAAGATCAGCATCCCCGGGGACCCGGGGGTTAGGAACAGGGACAACCTACCTGTCGGACGAGGGCCAGCTGCAGTGAGACATAGAGGATGACCTGGGGGTCACCGGGTGCCAGCTGCTGAGCCCTGTATGGGAAGAGGGAGTGACAAGTCAGGCACCAGGGGTTGAGTGACCAACGTGTGACTCAGGCCTCCAGCATGCGAGCCCTGTGCTGGGCACTATGAGGCAACAGTGGGGGATTCTGCCAGGCTCTGTCTCAGAGGGGCGTCTAGCTAGCAGATGAAGACCAAGGCAGACAGCCCACAGGCAGCCCAAGGCAGGGACGGTGGGCCTGAGGGGGCTGGCACTCGCTGAGGTAGGGGCCATCTGGGGTGACAGACGCCGAAGGAGAAAGACGATGGGATGAATACACATCCCATGGGCAGAGAGGGAGTGACAAGTCAGGCACCAGGGCAGAGAAACTGGCCCCGCTGCTCTGAGCATCTGCCAGGAAATCCCTGTAAGGGCTCGGGGTGGTGGGAGGGGTGGGTGGGTTTAGTGGGAGGGGTGGCTGGGGAGGAGCTAGAGGGAGGCAAATGCCATTTTTGAGCCCCTGTTACATATAGGATACAGTGCAAGGTGCTTTTCCTGCTTTATCTCCTGTAATTACTACAACAGCAATGGGTTATTATTCCCATTTTAGACCCCTGAGCCCTGGGAGACCAGGAACTGAGCCTGGTGGCTGCTGGAGCCCCCCTAGAGCTGAGGGCAGGGCTTGGCTGCCCGCCCAACCCCAAACGAATATCCCTGCTTGCTGTGTGCAGTTTCCTCATCTGTAAAATGGAGATAGAAATGTTTGTTCTGCCCACATCAGAGGGTTCAACGAGGTAAAGCTTGTGAATGTGCCACCAAAGGCAAGAGGGGTCTCTGCTGCAGGTGGGAGCCTACTCACCTCTCCAGTGTCTGCAGTGCTTTCCGGTGCAATTCATCTTGCTTGGACTTCAGGGTGGCTGCAGGGGACAGGACAGAGACTGAGCCATCAGGGGTCACTGAAGGGTGCCGGCCCAGCCCTGCACCATCCTCAAAGCACACAGCTCTGCAGATAAAGGCCCCACCAGGGCCCCATCTGGCAAACCTCAAACTCTGGCAGCCGGGCCAATGCCCTGGCCTCTAGCACATTCCTTGGCATGCCAGTTGCTTCTACTGCATTGCATTCTCCACCACCTGAACCACCTTAACCCTTTCAAAGGCCGATGCCTACAAGCGTTCCACGACATGGGCATCCCACTCAGGAGGCCCAAATCTTGAGAGAGAGGCTACCACCTCTGCCTGGCCACATACTTTTCTAGGCTTCCTGACCCACTAGGAAGCTTGAACCCAAACCAGGCACCTTTCTGGTAAACTGCATCCTATTTTAAATGCAGCAGGGCAGGTGTTCTTAGCCTTGGCTGCACACTCAACTCACTACCCAGGAAGCTTTAACATGACTGTATCCAGGCCCCTCCCAAACCTGATCAGAATCCCACTGGCGAGGACCAAGCAGAGCTCCCCAGATTCGAAAGCTTAGACAACAACCACTATTTGTAGAGTTAAAGGGACAAGGAGGGTGTCTTGCTCAAAGTAGACTTTGACAAAGGGGCTGATGACTCCCTCACTTGAGCAGCATGTGCAGACCCAGGTGTTCCTTATGTAGGGTTCATTTATACCTGATGTCACCATGACTGCTGCTCCCAGCGACTGGCGTTTGGGGGAGGTGGGCATGGGCTGATTACTATTCCAGGTTTGGTCTGGGTGGTGGCCCATCACTCCCCATCCCTCAAGCAAGCTACCAGGAGATGAAAGTAGGTGGCTGCCTGATAGACGGGGTGAGACACATGGCTGAGCTGGCAGGGTTGGCGAGAGAAGGCCAGGTGTGGGGCAGGAAGGAGCAGAATCCATTAGCCGAGCACAAGTAGTTATTAAGCACCTGCTGTGTACCCAGCCCTATGCCATGTATTGAGGAGGATTTAAAAGGCTCCAGAAGGTCATAGCAGTGCTGAGGGTAAGGGCAGGCTTATGAGAACCAGAATGGAGACACTGTGCGGTGGAAGGCTGATGGCGCATTACAGACGGGAAGCAGGAGTTCCACAGAGAAGATCAGTATGGGCTTTGCTGGAGCTGGGGCTGGGCCTTGAGGGGTGGGAGGAAGTGGGTCCATGAAGAGGGGAGAGGAAGGCATGTTTGAGGGTGGCGACAGTCCGGGCGAAACAGTGGAAATGGGTCGGAGGGGCGTGAGTGTGTGTATGCATGTGTGTGTGTGTGTACACACATGGGCATCTGTCCCAGAGGAGTGCAGGGTGCCTATGGAGGCATGGCCTGAGGGGATGGGCGCTGGTAGGACAAGATACCTCCGAGGCAGTTAGGAAGCCTGAGCCATCCCCAAGCAGAAGCCTCCTGGGGCCTGGCACTCACCGTCGGTGGCCTGCAGGCTATAGGTGAGACCCAGCGCCAGGTAGCCCTTGGGGAGGAACTCCCCGGCTTCCTCTCCGAGGCTGATCACCATCATGGCAAAGCGCTCTGCTTCCTCCAGCTGCAAAGAGGAGAAACAGAGGTCATGGGGGTGGGGTTGGAGTTTCCTCTACCGGTGAGTGGCTCCCTGGACCTGTTCCCGAAACAGAAGCTTGTGCTCAAGGTCACAGCGCCTGACCACTGGTCACAGCTCGAAGAGGGGCAGTGGATTCTCTGTCCCTGGAGTTAGGAAGTGACGTATCTCACAGGGAGAAGCTTCCCTTGCCCCAGAGATCCCAGCTCCCCAGAGCTTGTTCTGCTGAGAGCATGAACCCAAGACCAGGCCAGTCTGGGCCAGCTCCTTTCCTCCCATGGCCTCTGTAGGGGCCTGTGTCTGTGCCTGTCCTGCTCGGCAGAGAGGGAAGCCAGGGCGGGGGCAGGCAGGGGTCTGGGGCTGGGCCTCAGGAACACGTGTCTTGCTGGATGTCACCAGCCCCATGGAGCAGGCAGGCAGCCACTGTGGCCCCGTCCATGAGCTCGCTCCCTCTCTGAGACAAGGAGCTCAAACTTTCAGGGGAAAAAGGCCTGGGGCTGTTTTTGTCCTGGGAGCAGGAGGGACTGTTCCAGTTGGAAATGGACCAACCGGTATGGGTCACATGTGCACACATCATCACACATGACATGGGACACAAAGGGGCACACACAAGGCGGGCCTGGGGACACTCTGGGTCCCCACAGGAGTCAGGCCGGTTTAGGGGGTAGGGGAACGCCAGGGCCTTGGTCATGCCCACTCATGGCACACATGCCTCCAAAAAAGGCCCCCTTCCTCCCATCCAACCCAGGAAATGGCATGCCTGGTATAGTAATGTGCCCAAGTTCATGTCACTGAAAATGCCAGTTTCCAGAGAGGGCAGGGATGCTTCCTCTGTCACTAAGACTGGTGCTGACCCACAGCAAGGGACTGAATACCATATGCAAACCCTTCAGGGCCACCCAGACATCAAAGCCCCCAGCCATGGGCATCTCTCCTGGCCAGAGGCTCACAGAGTCATGAGACCAGGGAATGAGATTCAAACCCAAGTTGGCTCCTGGCCCCAAAGCCAGCGCTGCCCCTGCCTGGCCCCCATCCCTGCTCAGGCCCATCCCCCTAGCAGGAGATGGGCAGCTCTGGGTATCTTGGCGCCTGACCACTAGCCACAGCTAGAAGAGGAGCAGTGGATTCTCTCTCCTTGGAGTTAGGAACTGAGATCATGAGACAGAGGCTATTAGCCAGGGTCAGCTATGTGCAAACTGGAAGAGCACAGGGGAGAAAACAACACCAAGGCACAGAGAAGCCGAGGAAGCTGCATGATGGCCTGGAGGGAGATGGCGGGAGGGGCTGTCTGCCCACCATGCCCGACTCAGCTGACCACAGCAGCCCTCCAGCCACCTCGTGGGCGAGCTCAAGCTGCCAGCCTGGGCAGTGGGCTGCTTCCTGATTGCTGGGCTGGCCACTGGAAGGATGAAGGTGTCTGGGGAGCTGGGTTTCTGCCTTTGGCACCAATAGGCCTGAGAACCCAGGGTTCATGGAAGGCCATAGTTGGGGAAACCCCACAGCTGTCTAAAGCTCAGCCTCAGCTGGCCGGGTGGACCCAAGGCTATAGATGCTAAGATCTGTCTCCTGGGCCACGCAGCAGCAGGACTCAGGAGGGCTGCCGGGGCCTGAAGCCAGAGCCACATGGTGAGAAGAGCACTGGAAGACAAGCCCCAGACAGGCTCCAGTCCTGGCTCAGCACCTGACAGCTGTGGGGCTTGAAGAACACACTCAGTTTCTGTGTCTCAAGGTCCTCATTTGCAAAATGGCAGGTTGGACCCCTGCTCCTCCCTCCTCCCCAGAGCCCTCCACTGAGGCTTCTGTAGCACCAGGCCCTGTGCTAGGCCTGGCTGAGGAGCTGGCAGGACCAGGTGGCCCCTAGTTAAGGCCCCACTGTGTGGTGCTGACGTAGGGCTATTAGAACTCCAAGAGCTTATCACATGGCTGTAGTTACCCCAGGAGGTGGCAGAGGTAGAACAGGAGGCAACAAGGGAGGGGAAAGTAAGCAAATAGCATCCTCTTTCTTTCCTAATATACCCCTGGCTGATGAGGCTCATCTCACACACTATCTCAGGCATTATGAGGCTCCATTCAAACAGAACAAGCTTTCTTATAAACACCAAGCACAAGTTATAAAAAGAATCCAGACACCTGCTGTACTCCATGAATACATATTCTTCCCATGGCCATGTCCTTCTGCTCAGCAAATGCCAGCTTCAGCTCCTGCAACCCATGCAGCGAGGGTACCAGGAACACAGCTCAGCAAATACTGGCAAAGTATCTGTTCTCCAGTTCATATACATCATATTCTGGATTAAAAGAGCTCATCACCCTTTAGCTTTACAAAGTGAAGACATACATCCTTAGTGTGTCCAATTTGTGATCCACTCTGACCCCGAGATTAGTAGCATTCCTTCTCCAGTACTTGCCAGCATTGTCCACGTAGTTTAAAACTGTCTCTAAGCATGGTGTCAGCATTTGCCTCAAATCAAAATCCCAAGGCTTAATGTACCATCTCCCTATATGGCCAACATAATTTAATTTCTTTTTGTTTTTTTAAATAGAAAATGGTGTCTCACTATGTTGCCCAGGCTGGTCTTGAACTCCTGGGCTCAAGCAATCCTCCTGTCTCGGCCTCCTAAAGTGCTAGGATTACAGGTGTGACCCACCACATCTGGCCACAATTTTGATTTCTATTACCATACCACAAGGCAGGCTTTTTGCATGCAGAGTCACAGCAGTGATTAGAAAGGAAAAAAAGTATGATCAATTCCATTAAGTATGACAATATATAATACAATAGCACACAGTATTAATATACATGGGTACTGTAGCTGGCAAAAGGGAAGAATAATGTCACAAGAGTGGAAATCCAAAAGCCCTTGAGAATTTGACTCTGCCACCTCTGTTTTGAGATACTATAATCCCACCCAACTCTGGAATCAGCCCCACATCCATGAGTAGGTGCTTCATGCAAAGAGGCAGGGCAGCCTAGCGGCTAAGAACACAAGCTCTGGGGCCAACTACCCTGGTCCAAATCCTGGCTGGTCACTTGCTAACCTTGGGCAAGTCACTTTGTTTTGTTGTGCTTGCCTCTCTCTTCTGTAAAACGCGGATAACAACAGTGTCTCTCTCTGGATGAGGTGCTGGGAGGACAGGATGAGATAAGACAGGGCAACGCTCACAGCAGTGCTTAAAAAAATATTAACTATTATTAATAGTTGTAACTCATATATCTTTACATATTTACATATGTAGATATATAACTGTATATTTCATATGATATCTCTACACTGTCTTATATATATATAAGCTTTAATATAATAATATAAGCTTTTTTTTTTGAGATGGAGTCTCACTGTGTAGCCCAAGCTGGAGTGCAGTGGTGCAACCTTGCTCATTGCAACCTTCGCCTCTGGGGTTCAAGTGGTTCTCCTGCCTCAGCCTCCCAAGTAGCTGGAACTAGAGGCACACACCACCATACCAGTTAATTTTTTTGTATTTTTAGTAGAGACAAGGTTTCACCATGTTTCCCTGGGTGGTCTCGAACTTCTGAGCTCAGGTGATCCACCTGCATTGGTCTCCAAAAGTGCTGGGATTACAGGCATGAGTCAACACGCCCGGTCAGCTTTTTTTTTTTTTTTTTTTTTTTTTTTTTTGAGACAGACTCTCACTCTGTCACCCAGTAGGCTGGAGTACAGTGGTGTGATCTCGGCTCAATGCAACCTCTGCCTCCCAGGTTCAAGTGATTTTTGTGTCTCAGCTTCCTGAGTAGCTGGGATTACTGGTGTGTGCCACCATGCCCACCTAATTTTTGTACTGTTTGTAGAGATTGGGTTTCGCCATGTTGGCCAGGCTGGTCTCGAACTCCTGACCTCAAGTGATCCACCTGCCTTGGCCTCCCAAAGTGCTAGGATTACAGGAGTGAGCCACTGCACCTAGCCAGGCTCATATATATATCTATATATATCTCAATATATATAGATATAGATACACATATATATATGTATATCAATTACAATACTCATATATACTTATATATATACACACACACATATTTTGTATATGTATTATACAATTTGTTTAATCTTCCAGGGTTTTAAATCTCAGCCTAAATCTCAGATGGCAAGTGTCATCTTAGTCCTGGTTCCTTATAGCTACATGATCTGACAAATTGGGAAGTGGCATCAAAGACCCTCTGGAATCCAGAGAGTAGACATTACTGTCTGCCTTTTGTCTCTCAGCCAGATCCTCAGCCACCGAGAAGGAGTGACTCTACATGTGGATAAGTTGGCACCTCCGCAGCCCCACACAGTACACTATACTGAGCTGGTCGAGCTTTCTATCCCCTATCCAGGGTCCACTCACCCCACTGGGTAATACGCTGGAGTATTTCCTGTCCTATTCTCTGATAATCTATAGTTTATTTCAAGGTTTTATTTTATTTTTGAGATGGGGTCTCGCTCTGTAGCCCAGGCTGGAGTGCAGTGGCATGGTCATGGCTCACTGCAGCCTTGACCTCCTGAGCTCAAGTGATCTTCCCACCTCAGCCTCCCAAGTAGCTGGGAGGCTGCACCATCACACCAGGCTGATTTTTAACTTTTTTATTTTTATTTTGTTATTTTTATTTTTTTAGAGAGGGGGCAGGGTGGGTCTCACTATGTGGTCCAGGCTGGTCTGGAACTCCTGGGTTCAAGCGATCCTCCCTGCTTGGCCTCCCAAAATGTTGAGATGATAGGCATGAGCTACCACACCAGTCTCAAAAATTTTTTTTCTTTTCTTTTTTTTTTTTGAGACAGTGTCGCTATTGTTGCCCAGGCTGGGGAGCAGTGGCACGATCTCGGCTCACTGCAACTTCTGACTCCTGGGTTGAAGCGATTCTCCTGCCTCAGCTTTCCGAGTCACTGGGATTACAGGTGCCTGCTACCACGCCTGGCTAATTTTTGTTATTTTTAGTAGAGATGGGGTTTTGCCATGTTAGCCAGGCTGGTCTCGAACTCCTGACCTCA